ACAGGGAGAAGGTGCTGATGTAGGGGTACCGGAGATGACTCACGAGAGCTGGGGCGCGGGTGGGAGATGGGTTGCGCCCGGGGCAATGGGTCCTACCGGAGGCGCTCCAAGGGGCTGCTGCTGGCAGTGCGTGTCCCCCGGCTGATGGTTCCTGTCCCCGCACAGTTCGAGCAGATCTTGGACTCCGAACTGGCCCTCTTGGCCGGGCTGGCCGCGCGCCTCGAGGACATCGGCCGGGTGCAGCTGGAGGCGGAGGCCGTGCGGGCGCAGCTCTCCGAGCAGAAGGTGGGTGCATGGGCAGGTGGGCACAGCGGGGCTGGTCCCCGGGATGTGGCACCCACTCTCCCTGTCCCGCAGCTGCTCTCCGCCGAGATCCTGCACCACAGGGGGCTGGTGGAGCGCCTGCTGGCTGTGGCGGCCCCACTGCTGCAGCGCTGCCCTGAGCCCCTGCAGCAATGCCTGCAGGTGAGCAGCCTGGGCACCTCCGCGCTGCAGCACTGCAGGCACATGTCCTGTGCTGTGTGTGCCCCCGCTGAGCCGCGCTTCTCCACAGCCCTCTGTGCAAGCGCTGCGGGAGCGCACGGAGCAGCTCTCTGCGCGCAGCGCGGCCTGCGCCGTGCAGCTGGAGCACACCCAGGCACTGCTGGCCCAGTTTGCCGAGGCGCACGAGGAGCTGGCGCCCTGGCTGGCGGAGACGCTGCTCACGGCACAGCAGCTCTCCCCCAGCGCCATCAGCTACGAGGCCTTCAAGGAGCAGCAGGTGCTGCTGCAGGTAGGGAATAAGCTCAGAATGGGAATGGACTCGGGAGGGTGAAGGGGGAGGTCGGGAGGCACTGGTTGTGGGCACAGGGGGACCCTGGTTCAGGGAAGAGCAGCTTCAGGGTGCAAAGGGAGGGAGCGGAGCTGTTGGATCGCTGCGCAAGCACCATGCACCGAGGCAGAGGCAGGTGCAGCCTGGGACCCCAGGATACATCTGAGTGCCACTCTCTGCCACCTCCTCCACCTGCAGGGCCTGCGGGAGGTGATAGCGGAGCACCGGCCGCTGATGGTGAAA